GCCTTTGAATTGGAATAAGGTTTGCGTTCATTCATTGTATCTTTTTGTGAAAATCTGGCAAAAGTTTATCTAATTGCTTTTTTCTTTCTTTGCGTTGCTTTAACGTTTCAAAATCTGGACCAAAAAGCCCTTCGCCTGATAGTGGTAAACTTAAGAGAATTTCCCATGATCATGTAATTCAAAGTGAGATGTGTCAGACATAGTTAAAGGTCTTCTGATTATGTGGAAAAAGGCTCCTGTCCGGCCAAACAGATCCATACTTCTGGTAATGATATCAAAATATTTCTCACTTGTTTTACTTGATCTTCAGAACCCAAATTACCTAAGAAGTAGCTGTAATAAATTTCCAAGTCCTTGTTGAAAATAGGTCTGAGTTATCATTCCTATGCGCCTATGCGAGCTGCATGGGAGCCTTTGTAGGCAATTATTTCTATTGCAAGGTTGAGAAAATGAACTGGTCATCCCTTTGTGTTTAGAATTTGCAAAGGACCCTTTTTCACCATGTATTCTTTTAAGGAAAAATTCAAAGAATGGATCAATTTTAGGTACTTAAAGAAATTAGCTTTGCTAACTGGAAATTCATCAAGTAGACTTTCATTATAGGCTGACAAATGTTGTGGATTCTGTTTGAAATAAAAGATTTCTGAGCATCATCAAGTGATATACCATTCTCTTCAGATTCTTTACTTGGTAAAAGAGCGTCTTCTCCAAATAATTCCGCAAGACAACTTTTTGTCTTTTCGGCAACGTTGAATTTGAATCACTTTTATCCTGTGACTTTTTAATTCAGAATTGGGAGCTTCTGGATCAATGTCATTCAAAAAATTCTCAACATCCCTGTTTGTTGGAATCGAAATAATGTCGTCACGTTTTGATAGATAATTTGTACTATCAGAATCAGAATTTGCATTTCCGGGAGAATGTTTGGAAGACAAAATACTGAATAGACGGTCTAAATTACTGTCCAGACATTGACTTTTCGAATCAAATTTTTCTCCCAGCATCTGATATTTAGTTTAACACGAATCTTTGCTTCGAGATTTTGAACGTTTCTAAGTCGGGTATTTCCCTTGAAACTGCACAGAATCTCCCTCGCCATCTAATTGCGCTTCACGCGAAGGCGTGGATTCGTAATCAAATATTTCTTCGTCTGTTTGCTCTTTGGAGCGACGGGTTTGTTCTTCCGAAATTATATTGTCAAGAAATATACTATTATATTGCATTAGAAATTACACCCCAGGTCCAAATCTGAATGTCAATAAACCTGAAAATGATGTTCAAAGGTTTTTCTATTTGTTTTCCTTTAGCCGGCCCTAAAAGGGTCCAATCAAATTAGTATGAGCAAACTTGATAAAACACTACCTAAGAATGCTACAGACAAAATTTTGTAATCATCTATCAATTAGTTCTGTAGAAGGAGATGTTAAAAGGTATTTCTATTTTTTGCTTTAGCGGCCCCTAAAACGGGCCAATTTAATTAATTTGAGCAAACTTGATAGAAGAATACATAAGAATGCTACAGTCAAAATTTGATGATCATCCATCAATAAGTTCTGTAGAAGGAGACGTTTAAAGATATGAAATTAATATGAGCAAACTTGATAAGAAACTACCTTTGAATGCTACAGACAAAGTTTGGTGATCATACATCTTTTAGTTCTGTAGAAGCAGACTTTAAAATGTATTTGTATTTTAAGCTTTAGCAGCCCCTAAAAGGAGCCAATCAAATTCATATGAGCAAATGTGATAAAGACTACTCAAAAATGCTACAGACAAAATTTGGTGATCATCTATTAATTAGTTCTGTTGAAAAAGACGTGTAAATGTATATCTACTTTTAGCTTTAGAGGCCCCTAAAAGGGGCCAATCAAATTTATATTAGCAAACTTGATTAAAGACTACCTAAGAATGCTTAAGACAAAATTTGGTGGTCATCAATCAATAGTTCTGCAGACGCAGACGTTTAAAGGTATTTCATTTTTAGCTTAAAAGGGCCTATCAAATTAATATGAGCAAATTTGATAAAAAAACTACCAAAGAATGCTACAGACAAAGTTTGGTGAACATCCATCTATTAGTTCTGTAGAAGATGTCTAAAGGATTTTCTTCTTCTATTTTTAGCTCTAGAGACCCCGATAAGGGGCCAATCAATTTGATATGAGCAAATTTGATAGAAGAATACCTAACAATGCTACAGTCAATGTTTGGTGATCATCCATCTATAAGTTCTGTAGAAGGAGACATTTAAAGGTATTTATATTTTTAGTTTTAGAGGCCCCTAAAAGGGGCCAATCAAATTTATATTAGCAAACTTGATTAACGACTACCTAAGAATGCTGAAGACATTTGATGGTCATCCATCAATTAGTTCTGTAGACGCAGACGTTTAAAGGTATTTCATTTTTAGCTTAAAAAGGGGCCTATCAAATTAATATGAGCAAATTTGATAAAAAAAACTACCAAAGAATGCTACAGACAAAGTTTGGTGAAAATCCATCTTTTAATTCTGTAGAAGATGTCTTAAGGTTTTTCTTCTTCTATTTTTAGCTCTAGAGACCCCGATAAGGGGCCAATCAATTTGATATGAGCAAATTTGATAGAAGAATACCTAACAATGCTACAGTCAATGTTTGGTGATCATCCATCTATAAGTTCTGTAGAAGGAGACATTTAAAGGTATTTATATTTTTAGTTTTAGAGGCCCCTAAAAGGGGCCAATCAAATTTATATTAGCAAACTTGATTAACGACTACCTAAGAATGCTGAAGACATTTGGTGGTCATCCATCATTAGTTGTGTAGACGCAGATGTTTAAAGGTATTTCATTTTGTAGCTTAAAAAGGGCCTATCAAATGAATATGAGCAAATTTGATTAAAAAAAACTACCAAAGAATATTACAGACGAAGTTTGGTGAGTTCTGTAGAAGATGTCTAAAGATTTGTCTTCTTCTATTTTTAGCTCTAGAGACCCATAAAAGGAACCAATCAATTTCATATGAGCAAATATGGTAGAAGAATACTTAAGAATGCTACACCCAAAATTTGTTGATCATCCATCAATAAGTTCTGTAGAAGGAGACGTTTAAAGGTATTTCTATTGGTCCCTAAAAGGAACCAATCAAATTCATATGATCAAACTTGATAAAAGACTATCTAAAAATGCTACAGTCAAAATTTGGTGATCATCCATCAATTAGTTGTTCTGTTGAAGAAGACGTTTAAAGGTATTTCTATTTGAAGCTTAAGCGGTCCCTAAAAGGGGCCAATCAAATTAATATGAGCCAACTTGATAACAAACTACCTTTGAATGCTACAGACAAAGTTTGGTGATCATCCATCAATTAGTTCTGTAGACGCAGACGTTTAAAAGTATTTCATTTTTTAACTTAAAAAGGGCCTATCAAATTAATATGAGCAAATTTGATAAAAAAAAAACTACCAAAGAATGCTACAGACAAAGTTTGGTGAACATCCATCTATTAGTTCTGAAGAAGATGTCTAAAGGTTTTTCTTCTTCTATTTTTAGCTCTAGACACGATAAGGGGCCAATCAATTTCATATGAGCAAATTTGATAGAAGAATACCTAAGAATGCTAGAGTCAAAGTTTGGTGATCATCCATCTATAAGTTCTGAAGAAGGAGACATTTAAAGGTATTTCTATTTTAAACTTTAGCGGTCCCTAAAAGGAGCCAATCAAATTCATATGATCAAACTTGATAAAAGGCTATCTTAGAATGCTGAAGACAAAATTTGGTGGTCATCCATCATTAGTTGTGTAGACGCAGATGTTTAAAGGTATTTCATTTTGTAGCTTAAAAAGTGCCTATCAAATGAATATGAGCAAATTTGATAAAAAAAACTACCAAAGAATATTACAGACGAAGTTTGGTGAGTTCTGTAGAAGACGTCTAAAGATTTTTCTTCTTCTATTTTTAGCTCTAGAGACCCATAAAAGGAACCAATCAATTTCATATGAGCAAATATGGTAGAAGAATACTTAAGAATGCTACACCCAAAATTTGTTGATCATCCATCAATAAGTTCTGTAGAAGGAGACGTTTAAAGGTATTTCTATTGGTCACTAAAAGGAACCAATCAAATTCATATGATCAAACTTGATAAAAGACTATCTAAAAATGCTACAGTCAAAATTTGGTGATCATCCATCAATTAGTTGTTCTGTTGAAGAAGACGTTTAAAGGTATTTCTATTTGAAGCTTAAGCGGTCCCTAATCAAATTAATATGAGCCAACTTGATAACAAACTACCTTTGAATGCTACAGACAAAGTTTGGTGATCATCCATCAATTAGTTCTGTAGACGCAGACGTTTAAAGGTATTTCATTTTTTAACTTAAAAGGGGCCAATCAAATTAATATGAGCAAATTTGATAATAAAAAAAAACTACCAAAGAATGCTACAGACAAAGTTTGGTGAACATCCATCTATTAGTTCTGAAGAAGATGTCTAAAGGTTTTTCTTCTTCTATTTTTAGCTCTAGACCCGATAAGGGGCCAATCAATTTCATATGAGCAAATTTGATAGAAGAATACCTAGGAATGCTACAGACAAAGTTTAATCATATATGTATATGTAAAAAGACTAAAGGTAAGCTGTTTTGAAAAAAATTCTTATTTCAACATATAGATCTTGAAATATGCTTTTTGTGCAAAAACAGCTTATCTTCATTTTTTTAACCTATATAATAAGTATATATGCTGGGATTGACCAATATACATTTTATTTGGATTTTATGGTGTTTGGAGCTCCACACTCAAGTGTCTATGAATAATTACCCCATCAAAAGGTCATGGAATATTCAAATGACTCATGTCAATATTGCCAAATAATAAGTGTGACTGAACATACGGGGTGGCCACACAAAAACTCTTCTCACAAAACAGGACAACTTTAAACTGTCTCACATAATATAATTTCAATGTATAAAAATGTTATAGCGTCCTGTGAATTACCTGAGAAAGAAAAGAAACACCACACCAATTTTTGTTAGATTGTTTATTTGTAAATGACGATCAACAGTATTTAAGCATTAATTTACCTGTTAAATATAAGCTATATATCAATTATAACATGCCTAAAACAATCCTTAATTGCTATCAGTAATTAATGTTCTAATTTTAAAACTTATGTTGTAACAAAGTTTTCTTTACATTTATTATTAACAGTTGTAAGACAATAAACATTATCCTTATTTTTATGCTTGGTAGAAAAATCATGATTGGTATACCATATATTTAAACAAACAGAATCCATTAAAATATCTGCTTAGAGAAAACACTTGAAAAAGAGTGATCTGCCAGCCAAGGATAAACTCAAACAATTTCACTACTTCTCATGCCAGTGCTTTTGCAGGCAGACAATTAAGATATAATGTTCAATAAACTCACTTAAGTATCATAATCACACACACAAAGCAAACATTTAGAGCAGAAATTTTATGACATTTTACAAATGACCATGTTCCCCATACCACTCCCACTGATTTCATTAATATTATGCCATGATACTACAATTAACGACCAACGCAACGTGTTATTCTCTACATACATAGCAATACAAAGCAAAATACAAAACATGCATGTATTTTGTCAGTTTTCATCAAGTGCCAATCAAAAACAAAATATTTTAATTAACACTTTCTTTTTGTAATACACAAGAAAATAAAATACAAAATCAACAAACAAATTTACATTATAAAAGAAAATCAACAAATTGTCCGTAGTAAACGTAAACATGAATGAACACCAATCCAAAACAGTTAAATAAACAGCAACATTAAATATTTAATGTAGTGTCAAGTATCAGTAACGAATCAAAAATAAACACAATAATACATGATACAATTATAACTCAATTCAACAAAAATATCACACCATTTTATTATTATCACCTGTTTCATTGTTTTTATGACCATCACAGTCTCCATGCTTCTCATGCTCGCAACCTTCACATTTTTATAATTATAAAACATTTTCAAGTCTAGTAATAATATGACAATGAAAATACTTCCTTCTACTGAACAGTTTATCACAACTATTATAAGGCCATATGTTTTGTGTGTAACATGCAAAAACAAAGAATACAAGCATACGTATTATGATTGTCTGCTTTAACATTATCACTATCAAATATCCCTTTTCTTTTAAAATATTTCACACACCCATCACAGATTTGAACATTTGGTCTTGTATTTTTTTGTCAGTCCTTACATTTACAATGAGAATATCTCTCAATATCTTCTATAGTTTCCAGTCTGTTTTTCTTTCAACATAACGTATGTACACACCCATGTATGAACACTGTATTTATATAGAATGTCCTTTGGGAAGTCTGCTAGTACTGCCAAATCTAACAAAGGATTGTCCATGCTGTCTACATATCCAGGCAGCCATTCTCCAAGTCTGTAATAAAAAAGACATTTACAACAAATAATGCTTATATTTGATCTAAGGAACACTTAGTTGCTGTGTTCACAAAAAAGGTATATTAAGTAACATCAAAGAGCCATGAAAAGGTAGATGAAAAGCATATTGAGGATTTGCACTATTTCCAAAGGTCATAAAATTATTATCTGTCAAACAAGACATGAAAAACATACTTAAATGATGATTAGCCAGTAAGATATTGAAAAGATCTATCAGATCTATATAATCATTCAACTTTTACTGATGTGTCGACAGTCTACTAAATCTGCTAAGGTTTATGTTGACCAATCAATTAAGAGATCATAAAGAGGTTTACTTGTGGTTGGTTGTATCAATAAAATCCTCGTCCTCCGGGTTTTGTCTGACAGCAACAACTAACAGAATATACTCGTGAAGTATTTCTACAAGCTGGTTTAGTTTCTCTATTGACAACTTCTTCATATAACCCCTGTATTCTGCCATTATCTCATCTGGTAATTCCTCGTGGAACTCTTTTAACACACTTTCAAATGTTGACTGAAATGTAAATTATTTGTGTTCCTATCAATTATCTACCATAATATAATAACACAGTATCTTATGATCTGACACAAGACAAACACATATAGTTTATCAAACTATAAACTTTTAAGGTAATCCTAAACCCATGTTATGTACTGCCTTGATTTAAAACTGCACAATCTTAGAATTTCGCAGTATGTCTAGTCAGACCTGTACAAAAACTCTCAAAGTAACCTCAAAATATATGAAAATACTTTGTCAACCTACCTCTGTGTGTTGATTATTCCCAATCATCTTCTTTGATTTCTGTAGTGACAGCAGTAACCATAGTGACTGTGCATGTCTTAATTCACATGCCTGCTGGGCCTACAATGAATTTGTAATAATGTTATTAGCCTACCATACTATAAAAACCAGTGGGTTCTTATTCTATAGATTTTAGTCAATTCTGAATATTTTCCAAAACGGATATATTTGTAAACTTGTTTCCTTAAAAGCATATTTTCATGTATGATATATTGAAAGGCCACATACAATAATGAATAAACACGAGGGCCATGATGGCCCTGAAATCGCTCACCTGTTTATAGGCTCCCCGGGCGGGCAAATTTTAACCCAAGGCCTTTTATTTGAACAAACTTGGTAGACACCCATTAGAAGATGTTTCATGATAAATATCTAAGCTCTAGCTCTTTGGGGTTTTTAAAAGATGATTTTTAAGTATTTACAATGAAAACAATGACACCCCCCCCCCCCCCGGGGTCAATTTTGGCCCATCGGCTTTTATTTGAACAAACTTGGTAGACAATCAATAGAAGATATAATATGCTTTGTATCTAAACTCTAGCTCTTTGGGTTTTTTTGAAAGAAGATTTTTTAAGTTTTTACTATACAAAAATTTAAGGAAAATCAATGATCCCAGGGCCAGGCCAATTTTAACCCCAGTGCCCTTATTTGAACAAACTTGGTAGACACCCATTAGAAGATGTTTCATGCTAAATATCTTAGCTCCAGCTCTTTGGTTTTTTTAAAAGAAGATTTTTAAAGTTTTTACTATATACATAAAGGGAAAAAATGACCCCCTGGGGCAGGGCCAATTTTGACCATGGGGCTTTTTTTAAACAAACCTGGTAGACACCCACTAGAAGATGTCTCATGTTTAATATCTAAGCTCTAGCTATTTGGTTTTTATAAAAGAAGATTTTTTTATACTTTTACTTTATACAAATAAGGAAAATCAATGACCCCTCAGTTGGAGCCAATTTTGACCTCAGGGCTTTTATTTGAACAAACTTTGTAGACACTGACTAGACGATGGTTCATGCCAAATATTTTAGCTCTAGCTCTTTCAGTTTTTTAAAAGATTTTTCAAGTTTTTTTTTGGTTGCCAAGGCAACCAGAGTTCTGCATGGCATTAAATTCTTTGCCCAATTTTAAAGTTGACTACCAAAGGAACATTCCTGTGAAGTTTGGATGAAACTGGCTAAGAGGTTTATGAGGACATGTCGTTTAAAGTAAAACAAGAAACATGGCAATGCCATGAAACCAGGTTTTCAATTATCACCATTGTAGATAAATATGTTGTATTTGAAATACAAATACAAGCAACAAACAATGTAACTATGTGCAATGTAAAACATGAATAATGTAGGAGGAATTGCCACTGAAGAAGTGTTCACTATAATATTATGTATAAGGAAAAAAAACAAAGGGCCATAATTAGGTCAAAAACTATCCAATCACAAAACCCCGACAATATGTGCCAGGGTGCTTGATGACAAAGCTTCTGTGAAAGTTTGAACAAAATCCGTTGAGAAATGTAGGACGAGTTCAGCACAGAAGAATTTGTTCACTATAATTATATTGATAATTCTGTATAATGAAAAACAAGTTACAAAGTAGACATGAAATAATATATCATATCTTTTTTAAATTACCTCCAAAGATGATATGACCTTTGACTGCCAAATCAAGTTAAAATCATGTAAACAGGATTTTTCAATGTTAATGTCACTGTGACCTTGACCTTGGAGCCAGCCATGCGGAACATGCGTTCTGCACGTCATCTTGATGTGGTAAACATTTGTCTGAAGTTTCATCAAAATTCTTCAAAGGGTTGAAGAGTTACAGAGCGGACAGGATTTTCAATGTTAATGTCACTGTGACCTTGACCTTGGAGCCAGCCATGCGGAACATGCGTTCTGCACGTCATCTTGAATATATCATATCTTTTTTAAATTACCTCCCAAGATGATATGACCTTTGACTGCCAAATCAAGTTAAAATCATGTAAACAGGATTTTCAATGTTAATGTCACTGTGACCTTGACCTTGGAGCCAGCCATGCGGAACATGCGTTCTGCACGTCATCTTGATGTGGTAAACATTTGTCTGAAGTTTCATCAAAATTCTTCAAAGGGTTGAAGAGTTACAGAGCGGACAGGATTTTCAATGTTAATGTCACTGTAACCTTGACCTTGGAGCCAGCCATGCGGAACATGCGTTCTGCACGTCATCTTGATGTGGTAAACATTTGTCTGAAGTTTCATCAAAATTCTTCAAAGGGTTGAAGAGTTACAGAGCGGACAGGATTTTCAATGTTAATGTCACTGTGACCTTGACCTTGGAGCCAGCCATGCGGAACATGCGTTCTGCACGTCATCTTGAATATATCATATCTTTTTTAAATTACCTCCAAAGATGATATGACCTTTGACTGCCAAATCAAGTTAAAATCATGTAAACAGGATTTTCAATGTTAATGTCACTGTGACCTTGACCTTGGAGCCAGCCATGCGGAACATGCGTTCTGCACGTCATCTTGATGTGGTAAACATTTGTCTGAAGTTTCATCAAAATTCTTCAAAGGGTTGAAGAGTTACAGAGCGGACAGGATTTTCAATGTTAATGTCACTGTGACCTTGACCTTGGAGCCAGCCATGCGGAACATGCGTTCTGCACGTCATCTTGATGTGGTAAACATTTGTCTGAAGTTTCATCAAAATTCTTCAAAGGGTTGAAGAGTTACAGAGCGGACACAATTTCGTTTGACGCCCGCCCATCCGCCCATCCGCCCGCCATACCCCAATCTAATAACCAGGATTTTCAAAATTGAAAACCTGGTTAAAAATATGAAGAGACGGATGCCGTACCGACGGATGGCCGGACGCCGGATGAAAAGCATTCAGAAAAGCTGGACAGGTGAAAAATAGGATAAAGAAACTAACACAATTACAATCATAAATGTAAAGTCAGAGCAAAACACAACATTAAAATATTAGTTAGTACATAGACAACAGTTCAGACACTGTATAATTGTACATTGGTTAAATGTTATGTACATACATTTTTAATTAGTTTTTGCTTTGTTTAAATCAAATGAATAAAAACATTTTACATTTTTGAAATTCAAATTTAAATAATATTGGGTCATATAGAAAAATTTAAGTACAATCACCTTTTGACTATGTATTGTGGTTTTCATTTGAAGTGTGTTCCCCATGAATTCATGTAAAGTTTTCTCTGGTTGACCTCCTGTAGACTTTAGAAAACTTATTGTTATGTCCAGATTGTCCAGTGATGTACAAATATCTGGTAGCGTCTTTATCTCAGCACATATCTGAGTCTTAACTGCTGCACTCAAATTTTCCTGAAAGAAACCCAACATAATATAAATTGTTTCACATAATAGGAGTGCTGACTTAAATGCATATGAAGTAATAACAGAGTAATTTCTTTAACGGAATAATCCTTGAAAATAGTTAAAAACGATTTTATTTTGCTGTAGTAACACTGATTGCCATTACAGAGAGTAAAAAATAAATCTAAAAATATGTTTTACCTGGGGTATTTTCTCAGACAGTTTTCTGAAGACTTCAGCATCAGTGAACTCAGTTCTGTACACCATCTGGTCAATCTAATTGATAAAGTTAAAAAGTGATCAACCATTTATTAAATACGATTATCAAATTTTTCTTAAGCTGGTACAAGGGGGTATAGGTGGTAACAAAAATAAACCACTGCCATCAATGCACAACCTAAAACCATACAGTCAAAGGTTTGGCATACTCCTTGTTACCTTGTTAGACAAACCTTACTTGTTCCTAGTCACTATTCAAAATATAGTATTTTAAAAAATCATATAAGACATATTGGAAAGGTAAATCAATGTAATTTATTGTAATCTTCATATCTATTCCAAGTCAATATAATCAAACTTATTAAAACTGCTCCAATATGTGTCTATAATTGTAAAATCATGTAACCGGCAATAGTCTTTAGTTCTTAACTCTTAACTGGGATGTTTGTGTTGATTATGTCTATGAAAGGATATAAATTCACAAAACATTACAATAAAGACAAGCATTACTTGAGATACATGTACCAGAATCTCTTTTTTCATCACAAGAACTAAAAACAAGAGCTTTAAGAAAAGTCATACCATCAACACCCTTCCAACTTCAATTCTTGACTTTGAAAACAAGAACCTGTCCATCAATTGTCTCTCTAAGGCAGCAAAGTCATACTCTATCTTTGTCCCTTTACCCATCTCAAATGAATACTGGCAGTTAGCAAGCACTAAAGGTAAAATGTCGTGCTGGGGGTCGTAGCTGATTAGATGTGCTGATGTCACCTCTTTCGGGTTTACACTGGATATGCTGCCAGATTTCCTGTACAAAAATATTCAAGTTTGCTTATCACTACTTAATTCTGTATCACTAGCAACATTAAAGACCAATACAATAACATCTTTCAAAATATTTAATGTTTATTGAAAATAAGTATTTAAAATATTGTATGTGGTTTCATATCAATATTTAAATTCTTTCCAGGTTAAGTTTAAGTCACAACAACACTGTCAAGGTCTTAATGAGGCAGAAAAACGACAGATTGGCAGAGAGGTAAACTACTGATCGCTAGTCGCAATTGTTCAAACCCCGTCAGGTGCAAGTTGTTGATTCCTTGAGTAAGAAACTTTACACTTATTGCTCAAGAAGGATTTGACAGTGTGTCTATAAGCTTATAGCTTCCTACACAAGCGAACTTAAATAAATTCTGTAATAAACAAATTTATAATGTGCCTTTCCAGCTTTACTGTTTGAAGAACACTGCAGATGCTCCTTTGTGAATTGTTTTATAGCCCAAAATGAATCACCAACCTACCACAACTTGCTGGATACCTAACAGTATGAAATTACTTTTGATACAGTTTGAATTTAAGAATTGGTGCCTGTTTTAATCTTGTTTTAATTATTATTTTGTTGGCTCCTATTTCACAAAATTAGATTGAAAAAGTCATAAGCCTTTTCCTTCATTTCACTTTATGTAAATTGCTAAAGTTATTACATCATGTTGCGTATGATATAAATATATTAACATTACATTCATAAGCCTTACATAATCTATGACACATGAACCCAAAATGAACCATCAACCTACAACAAGCTGGCCGGATGGCTACCTAACAGTAAGAAACTACTTTCAATACAGTGTCAATTTAATATTTTCCTGTATTTCACACCAATAATGTATTGCATCATGTTGCGTATGGTATAAAGATATCTCTATTATGTTCATAAGCCTAGCGTAATATTTGTCATATAACATTAATAGGGGGAACACAGGAATATATCAACATGTTCTATACTCTTCATCAACACATATAACTTATGTGATATCTCCTATTTCTCAAGTCAGCATTAATATTCGAATAACAGAAATGAGTAAAAGTAGTTACCTATGAGCTTCCTTGAGATATTTAACTACGAAATCACTTTGTTTCCTCATCAAAAAGTCTAACAGGACATATGAACATAGTCCATCCTCTATTATTTTTGGTAACAAGATAGATATTGGTGGAATATTCAAGTATCTCCCGTCAATATTCCCAAACAATAACAAGGGTTAATGGATATACGTTACTGGATATTCCCCTAAGAAATACACATCATTTAAAAATATAAAGAATAAATCTAAATGTTTAAATGAGGTTATGTGGCAGGCATATCACATACATATCACATACAGCTAGCTCCTAGCATATACATGTGAAAAAGTGTAATTATAATAGTGCAAAAAATAAGGGAACAAAGAGGAAGGGTGAAAACTGGTGAAAGGTAATAAACAAATTGGCTCAAACATTATTCCTGCCGATCAATTTTAAATTGAGGAAAACATATAGTTTGGCAATATTGACCGGAGACTTATCAACTTTAGGAAGCTTTTTCGTAAGTTGCAATTTCGAATCCTCGATATACATTTTTTTTAGATTTATTTCACTATTTTCTTCAGTTATATGCAGCATTTGTGAATAAATCATTTGATAATTTCCCGGTGTCTTTTTTTTAAATTTCATACCTTTGATACATACATGCATATGTAATTTTTTAAAATTTAAATATATTTTGTCATACAATGGGTGATTGACATGCAAAAAAGATACAACATGTATTAAAGTTTTGCAAAATAATGTAAACAAATGTTTAATAAGTTTTCGAGCCTAATATACCTTCAAATTGAAGCTCAAATTGAAGTATTCACTCTGTGCCACTGAGGCTTTTTAGACAAGTGTTGTGTCAGTACACAAACCATGTTTACCGGTTTGCCATTCTTTAAGGATATACAATGCTCATCTTTGCGTGAAATATTTTTATCACAGGCGAAATATTTTTATCACAGAAATCTATTGAAATCTGTAATTCTTGCCGAATATGTCCAATTTGAATAAAAGAATGAATAAATTATGTATAAGAAGCTGCGTGGCATTCTACAGGTCAAGTAAAAGTGGTCTTGATAATAATAATAAGAATTACCACATCTTTATAGCGCCCTTCTCAAAAATAAAATAAAATGTTCAAAGGCGCTTTACAATGGAATTATATACATTTACAATGACTTAAAAAACAAACAAAAAGTAATAAAAATAACAACACACATATATGTTTACATTTACAAACTATAAAATACCCCATGATTAATCTAAAAGTCTAAAACTAATAATAATAATAGTCTAAGACTTGAAAATGAAATAAAGAGAAACGTTGAAACTATGGAAATTAAAAAAAATCAAATCAATTTTGACAACTGAAATCTAAATCCAATTTGATAAAACAGTAATCAATAATTGAAATGTGATTCAAAAATAGACTTTAATGTGTACCCAGATATCTCATAACAAAAGACAGCACGCCAATTCACAGTGATAACAAATACAGTACAGTTAGTTACTACAAATTTTCAGGAAAAAATGTGTTTTTAAAGATTTCTTGAAAACATGTACTGTTTTTGAGTCTCTGATACTGTCTGGAAGAGCATTCCACAGTTTTGGTGCCACCGAAGAGAAACTGCGTTCACCAAATCTTACAGTCCTACTTTTGGGAACAGCAAGTTGCTTTGAAGAGTTCTTTGATCTTAAGTTTCTTGTTGGTTGATATAGCGCCAGTAAATGTTTTAGGTAAATTGGTGACTGATCATGTAGGGCTTGATAAGTTTGATAAGGATTTTAAAGTCTACTCGATAAACCACAGGAATCCAGTGTAGTTTCTTCAATACTGGAGTGATCTGTTCAAATCTGGAAGTTATTGTGATGATGCGGGCAGCAGTGTTTTGAAGATGTTGTAGTTTGTTCAATGTCGTTTTAGGTACACCATATAAAAGTGCATTACAAAAATCCATGCGAGAGGTGACTAAAGAATTCACTAAAGATTTTGTTGCATCAGTATTCAGGTATTTCCTTATATGACCAATCTGGCGTAGTTGTCCATAACAAGATCTGCAAACTGAGTTAATGTGCTTTTCCATGGTCATGTTGTTGTCCAATACAGCACCAAGATTTCTTACACTATTTGATGGTTTTATGTTTTCATCTCCGATAGTCACAGTTATTGTCTCAACATGCTTTTGTTTTCTCTGAGATGTAAATATTATTACTTCTGTCTTGTCAGCATTGATTTTCAACATATTATTGTTCATCCATGTCACTATTTCAGCAAGACGATTTTGAACTCGATCTAATGAGTCATTCTTAGAGACTGGACATGTTGGTTTAAAGGAGAGGTTAAGTTGTCCATCGTCTGCATAATAATGGTATTCCGATCCATGTTTCTTACATATTGCACCAACAGGTTTAGTGTACATAGTTAACAAATTTGGTCCCAGAACGGATCCTTGAGGCACACTGTAGCTCAATTTGATTGGGTTTGACAGTTCACCATTTATTGTGACAGTCTGGTGTCGATCACATAAATATGAACGTATCCATTCTAACGGTTTTCCAGAAATACCAAAGTTGGTGTTAAGGCGCTGTAGAATTGTAATGTGGTCGATTGTATCGAATGCAGCTGATAAGTCCAGCATAACTAAGTAAACATGGTAACATCATTGTTGTCTAGTGAATTCAATATATCATTTTGAACTTTTATTAGTGCTGTTTCAGTTGAATGAAATTGAATTTTCTATATGCAGATTGATGGGGATCATGAAGCTCGTTTGCTGTTAAAATCATTCCAGACCATTTTCTCTAGAATTTTAGACACGTATGACAGATTCGAAACAGGTCTGTAATTCTTTAAAATGTTGGTATCTAAATCTAGCTTCTTGATGAGCGGTCTGATCAGGGAACTTTTGAATGATTTTGGAACATATGAACGATCTAATGAATAGTTAATCAGTTTTGTCAATGACGGGACCAATTCGTCCAAACATTCTTTTAACAGCCATGTTAGTATCACATCCAGTTCACGAGATTTACTTTGTGATTTTGATATAACTTTTCTCAGTTCATTTTCGGTTACAGGTGTAAATTCAACTAGCTCATCTGTTTCACTATTCATACACTCTTGTGTGTCGATATGAACTTGTCACGTATTTTTTCTATCTTATCGACGAAAAAATCAATGAACTCTTGAGCTAGGTCTGCTGATGATAAAGAAACTGGTAAAACAACCTCATCGGTTCTTCCAAGAAGATTTTTTGTCACTTTAAATAGATTTTTTGGTCACGACCACATGACCCTATCTTTTCAGCATAAAAGCTAATACGTGTTCGCTTGAGTAATTTATTGACATACGCACATTGACTTCTATAAATTTCATGATCTACTGTCAGTTGAGATTTTTCCCATATTCGTTCCAGCTTTCGTTTGGAATGTTTTGCCTTGTGAAGTTCGTCATTAAACTATGGATAAGACGGACGATTGTTTTTGTTATAAGCGGATCATGTTTATCAATAAGGGTTGACAAACCGATGTTCAAAGATTCCACGTATTCGTCTAGGTCGAAAATAGACATATTCGCATTTGATATATCTAATGATTTCATATCCTCTCTGAAACCTTTAATATCAATCGATTAATATCTTTCCTCTCGCGTCAGATAGCCCTGGGTCTCTGACCTCTATATTGGACACAATGTTGTCAGTGTCTCGGGTGATAACAACATCAAGGGTATGTCCTGCAACATGTGTAGGTCCCTGAACATGCTGTTTTAATCCAAATGTTTCAAGACAACTGATGAATTTTGTCTACATGAAAGTTGAAGTCCCCAACAATTATTACCGGTTTATCAATAGTTGCATATTTCGAAAGAAACAAAGGCCATTCCTGTTCAAGAAAAGTGTTTGTACTGAGACCATTCTTTTGTGATGGTGGTGGTCTATAGATAACAGAAAGGCAGAAGGAGTCTTTTTCGATAGCTATATTACAGTCAATGTGTTCAAATGTAGAAAAATGTCCATCGGTAGATGAGGTCAAAACTTTGAAATTTATGTTGGATTTGTAGATAATAGCAACACGACCCCCTCGAATTTTGGCAGGTCGAGGAACTTGCTTCATTTTATACCCGTTCGGAACTAGCTCACTACTGCAAACTTTATCAACTGAACTACTCAACCATGTCTCGGTGATGGCAACTATATCAAAGCCGTTTGATAGGATAAAATCACAGATGGCTATTGTTTTATTCTTCACAGACCTAGGATTGATTGAGCATACTTTTAAGTGTTTCTGACTTTCTTTTGTACGAACAGTTTGAATTCGCTTGATCTGAATGATATTGTTAATGTGAAGTATATTTGAGTTTGTTTTTGAGGCACGTTTACTGTAAACAACAGTTGGAATAGCTTCTGGTAATGTTCTTAGATTATCGTCATTTACTCCTTGATTAATATCCCATGATCTCATATGACTCTGACCACTTCTCTTACCTCGTTTATTTCTTTCTGGATTTCTAACTATTTTATTTGCTGCACCACAATGTTATTAAGTGTATTGCCTTGGGCAGTCACTGATTTTCCAATATCGTACAAGGTTGATCTTTCGTACTTAATCCAATTTGAAAGGTTGTCACTAATCCTTCCTTAGGGCATTTTACATGTAAATACAGTTTCTATATATATTATGTTTTTGTCTTCAAAGTCCAAATTTCTCTTCAAAACACAATAATTCCCAAAACAAAAATAAGAATTCCAATGTCATACAGTTTATGATTAACTCTGTCAAATCTCATTCTTCAACACAGAATATAAACACTTTCATAAAGGCAAAGTGTAGGAGCTCACAAAAATTGCAGCCAACACCTGGTGCAATGAGATGTAGATCTTTTCTTTAAAAAACTGCCAGTTTTTTTAATGACACTATATAATCATATTGTAACCACCTATAGTGTTTAGAATTTCAAACACAACATATCTTTGTGTGAAGTAAAAACATGTTTATTTTATATTTACAAAGAGACTGTGTAGCAATTATAGATATTTTCAAATATGAAATTTGAGCGTAATATATATTTAACATCCGTAATGTTTACTTCGGAATCCGATAATTTCACAGACACATGGGGTGTGGAGCTCCAAACGCCTTTAAATATAAATTGTTTATCTGTCAATCCCAGCACATTTACTTATCATATATGTCAATAAAACTAAAAGGTAAGCTGGTTTTTAAAAAAAAATTATATTTCAACATATATGTTGTATCATTAATTTATATATGTTGAAATTGGAACTTTTTTCAAAACAGCTTATCTTTAGGTTTTTTTTTACATATATGATAAGTATATGTGCTGGGATTGACCAATAGACATTTTATTTGGATTTAAAGGCGTTGTGAACTCCACACTCAAAGTGTCTGTGGATAATTACCGACAATAAGTCATTGAATATTCAACTGTCTCATCCAACATTGCCAACTAATAAGTGTGACTGAATATACGTGGTGGCCACATAAAAACTCTTCTCACAAAACGGGATAATTAAACTGTCTCACCTAATATAATTTCAGCATAACTTTAAACTGTCTCACATAATATAATTTTAATGTATAATTTTTTTTGTAGCATCCTGTTCATTACCTGAGAAAGAAAAGAAACACCACACCAATTTTTGTTAGATTGTTTATTGAAAATGTCGATCAACAGTATTTAAGCATTAATTTACCTGTTAAATATAAGCTATATATCAATTATAACATGCCTAAATCAATCCTTAATTGCTATCAGTAATTAATGTTCTAAATTTAAAACTTATGTTGTAACAAAGTTTTCTTTACATTTATTATTAACAGTTGTAAGACAATAAATATTATCCTTATTGAAAAATCATGATTGGTATACCATATATTTAAACAAACAGAATCCATTAAAATATCTGCTTAGAGAAAACACTTGAAAAAGAGTGATCTGCCAGCAAAGGATAAACTCAAACAATTTCACTACTTTTCATGCAAGTGCTTTAGCAGGCAGACAATTAAGATATAATGTTCAATAAACTAGCTCAGGTCTCATAATCATACAAAAAGTAAACATTTAGAGCAGAAATTATATGACATTTCACAAATGACCATGTTCCCCATACCACTCTCGCCCCCAATGATTTCATTAATATTATGCCATGATACTACAAAAAAAGAACCAACGCATTTAATCTCTACATATATGACAATACCAAACAAAATACAACACATGCATGTATTATGCCATTTTTCATCAAGTGCCAATCAAAAACAATATTTCAATTAACACTTTCTTTTTGTAATACACAAGAACATATAATATAAAATCAACAAACAAATTCTATCATAATAAAAGAAAATTAACATTTTTTTCTGTACTAAACTTAAACATAAATGAACACCAATCCAAAACAGTTCGATATAATAAACAGCAACATTAAATATTTGATGTAGTGTCAAGTATCAGTAACAAATCAAAAATAAACACAATAATACATGATATAATTATAACTCAATTCAACAAAAATATCACACCATTTTATTATTATCACTTGTGTTTCATTGTTTTTATGACCATCACAGTCTCCATATTACTCATGCTCGCAAACTTCACATTTTTATACCTATACAAGATTGTGCAAGCCTAGTAATAATATGACAATGAAAATACTTCCTTCTACTGTACAGTTTATCACAACTATTATAAGGCCATAGATATTGTGTGCAACACGCAAAAACAAAGGAACCTAGCGTATGTATTATGACTGTCTGCTTTTTTCCTTCAAAATATTTCTTACACCCATCACAGATTTAAAAATTTGGTTTTGTATGTTTTTGTCAGTCCCCACATTTACAATGAGAATATCTCTCAATATCTTCTATAGTTTCCAGTCTGTTTTTCTCTCAACATAACGTATGTACACACCCATGTATGAACACTGTATTTATATAGAATGTCCTTTGGGAAGTCTGCTAGTACTGCTAAATCTAACAGAGGATTGTCCATGCTGTCTACATATCCAGGTAGCCATTCTCCAAGTCTGTAATAAAAAAGACATTTACAACAAATAATGCTTATATTTGATCTAAGGAACACTTAGTTGCTGTGTTCACAAAAAAGGTATATTAAGTTACACCAAAGAGCCATGAAAAGGTAGATGAAAAGCATATTGAGGTTTTGCACTATTTCCAAAGCTCATAAAATTATTATCTGTCAAAAACGACATGAAAAACATACTTAAACAAGATATGTTTGTAAAACATGTATGCCCCCTATCAGCAGCCAATTAGTCATGTGATAAGGTTATTATGCATGACTTCTGACCCAGTGATCAAACAATTAATAAGGGTTATCAAGTATCTACTGGTCATGACCTTAACCTTTGACCCATTGACCCAAAACTCAATAGGGGTCATCTGCTGGTCACGACCAATCATCATACAAAGTTTGAAGTTCCTAGGCCTAAGTGTTTTTAGTTAATTGATCGGAAACCGTTTTAACATACAAGGTCAATGTGACCTTGACCTTTGACCCCTTGACCCCAAAATCAATAGGTCATCTGCTGGTCATGACCAATCACCATACCATGTTTGAAGTTCCTAGGCCAAAGGGTTCTTAAGTTAATGATTTGAAAGCATTTTTACCTACAAGGTCAATGTGACCTTGCCCTTTGACCCCTTAACCCCAATATCAATAGGGGTCATCTACTGGTCATGACAAATCACCATACCAAGTTTGAAGTTCCTAGGCCTAAGGGTTCTTTAGTTATTGATCGGAAACCGTTTTTACCTAAGAGGTCAATGTGACCTTGACCTTTGACCCCTTGACCCCAAAATCAATAGGGGTCATCTACTGATCATGACCAATCACCATATAAAGTTTGAAGTCCTTAGGCCTAAGGGTTCTTTTGTTATTGATCGGAAACCGTTTTTACCTACAAAGTCAATGTGACCTTGACCTTTGACCCCTTAACCCCAAAATCAATAGGGGTCATCTGCTGGTCATGACCAATCACCATACCAGGTTTGAAGTTCCTAGACCTAAGGGTTCTTTCGTTATTGATCGGAAATCGTTTTTACTTACAAGGTCAATGTGACCTTGACCTTTGACCCCTTAACCCCAAAATCAAAAGGGGTCATCTACTGATCTTGACCAATCACCATACCAAGTTTGAAGTTCCTAGGCCTTAAACTTCTTTAGTTATTGATCGGAAACCGTTATTGCTTACAAGGTCAATGTGACCTTGACCTTTGACCCCTTGACCCCAAAATCAATAGGGATCATCTACTGATCATGACCAATCACCATACCAAGTTTGAAGTTCCTAGGCCTTAAGGTTCTTTAGTTATTGATCGGAAACCGTTTTTGCTTACAAGGTCAATGTGACCTTGACCTTTGACCCCAAAATCAATAGGGATCATCTACTGATCATGACCAATCACCATACCAAGTTTGAAGTTCCTAGGCCTTAAGGTTCTTTAGTTATTGATCGGAAACCGTTTTTGCTTACAAGGTCAATATGACCTTGACCTTTGACCCCTTGACCCCAAAATCAATAGGGGTCATCTACTGGTCATGACCAATCATCATACCAAGTTTGAAGTTCCTAGGCCTAAGGGTTCTTTAGTTATCACTCGGAAACCATTTGGTCTACGGACCGACGGACTGACAAGTGCAAAGCAATATACCCCCTTTTCTTCGAAATGGGGGCAAAATAATGATTAGCCAGTAAGATATTGAAAATATCTATTTAATCATTCAACTTTAACTGGTGTGTACAGGATCTACTAAATCTGTTTAGATTTATGTTGACCAATCAATTAAGAGATCATAAAGAGGTTTACTTGTGATTGGTTGTATCAATAAAATCCTCGTCCTCCGGGTTTTGTCTGACAGCAACAACTAACAGAATATACTCGTGAAGAATTTCTACAAGCTGACTCAGTTTATCTATTGACAACTTCTTCATATAACCCCTGTATTCTGTCATTATCTCTTCTGGCAATTCCTCGTGGAACTCTTTTAGTACACTTTCAAATGTTGACTAAAATGTTAATAATTTGTGCTCATTTAGCATTAAAGATATGAGTTATCTACCATAATATAATAAACACAGTATCTTATGATGTTGAGCAAACCAAACACATATAGTTTATCAAACTATAAACTTTTCAGGCATCCTAAATTCATGTTATGTACCACTGAATGACCTTAGAAGTTTGCAGTCTGATGAGACTGTACAAAAACTATCAAAGTGACAATGAAATAAAAGCATAACAATATTACAGCTTCAATTTAGAGTTGTTACATATTTAGTCAACCTACCTCTGTGTGTTGATTATTGCTAATCATCTTCTTTGTTTTCTTAGAAAAAGCAGAAAAACCATGTACTGGGGTTGTTTCAACTCACAACCCTCCCGGGGCCTAAAATAAATTTTGCAACATGTTATTGTTTTTCAAAAAACCTGTAAATGTAGGGGAAATTTTTTAAAATATTTAAAAGAGGCTTTTTTTAAAATTTTTTTCCCAAAACTGATAAAAATGAATGAAAACTTTTTTTTGTTTCTGAAAAGAAATTTTTCCTTTGTATGATTTTTTCAAAAATTGCAATTTTTCAGTATGATTTTTTCAATGCCCATAAAATAATGAAAAAAAAATAGGAAAAAAGGAAATAATTAATCAAAAAAATCTAATAAAAACCCAGAGCCAACAACATTAAAATATTATTTTAGTAATAAAACAAAAATTCGGACACTTAAAATGAAATTGGGTTTAAAATTTTAAATTTTACAAAACTTTTTTAAATTATTTTTTGTTTTGTTTTTCAAAATTATAAACCTTTTACTTTTTTAAATTTCCCAAATTTTTAAAAAAATTTTTGGGTCATTAGAAAAATTTGGTAAAAATCCCCTTTTGACTATGTTTTGGTTTTCATTTAAAGGTTTTCCCTGAATTCTTGTAAATTTTTCTCGGGTTTCCTTCCTGTGGGGTTTTGAAAAAACTTATTGAAAATTGTTAGATTGTCCAGTGTGAAAAAAATATCTTGGGAGGTCTTTTATCCTCAGCAAATATTTGAGTCTTAACTGCTCCCACTCATTTTTTTCCTGAAAGAAAATAACAAATTTTAAACTTGTTTACAAAAAAGGGAGTGCTGAAAAAATTAACTTAAAAGAAATTAAAAGTAATTTCTTTAACGAATTTCCTTAAAAGATATTTAAGTTAAAAAGGTTTTAAATTTTTTGCTGAAAGGGGCACTAAATTCCCGAAAACAGAAAGAAAATTTAAAATATAAAATTTTTATTTTACCTGGTTATTTTTCCCGAAGTTTTCAAAAAGATTTAAAGCATAGTGAACCATTTTCTGTCCCATTGGTCAATTTAAAAAACCAAAATAAAAAAGTAATCAACCATTTATCAAATACGTTTATGCAAAAAGCTGGGGGCGGGGGGTATGGTTGGAAAACAAAAAAAAACCAGGGAATAAATTTGCAAAAACCTAAAAAACCAAAAAGTAAAAGGGTTGTGATTACCCCTTTTAGAAAAACCCCTTTATAGTTCCCTTCCCCTATTAAAAATTATAGATTTTAAATGGGAAATTTTGGTCCATGGAAAGGGTCCCCCCACAAGAAAACCATGAAATTTTTTCCCTCCCAAAAATTTTGAAATAAAACCCTGCAATAAATAAACCCTTGTAGGGGGAAAAGTTTTTAAAATTATTTTTGATTAAATTGACCTTGACCCACTGACCCCTACCCCAATAAAAAGGGAAAAAAACCCATGAATTATCTTCCTCCCAAAAATAAAAATTAATTTTTAAATAAAAAAAGGCTGTATGAGCAAAAGGTGAAAAAAATCTTTTTTAGAAATGGGGGAACCTTGCCCCCAAGGGCCCACTAACCCCAAAATTAAAAATTTTTGTTTCTTTCAATTTTTAAATGACATTTGTCTAAAAGAAAGGGTTTTAATACCTGTAAAAATAAAAAAAAATTTTTAACATTGGTGACATTGAATTTAAACCCCAAATTTGCCCCCTTACAACCAAAAAAGGGGGACCCCCCTTGACATTGTTTGTATCAACATGAAAGACATTCAACCAAAAAATAAAGGACAGTATGAGTAAAAATGTTTAAATTTTATTTTCTAACCAGTGAATCTTGGACTTTGACCCTAATGACCACTTACTCCACAAAAAATTAGAGGACCATTGAAGGTATCCACCTACCAAATATGCAAGATATCATTAAATAAATTAAGCAATTGAAGAGAAATTTACGATAAATCCAACTTGACGGAATAGGTTAACCAGACAAGGTCCTATTTTCAAAGTGAAAAAAGGGAAATAACTGGAAAATATGGATGACACAGTTATATTAACTTGGGAAATATCATGTACTTTATATTAAGTAAGTGTAGAAATTATGAAGCCATTAGTATAAGATAGAACTTAAGATATTTCCAACTTTGGCGTTTTAGGTTAACCATTATTCAATTTTCTAAGTGCTGAAAAGGCACAATAATTGGAAAAATAGGGAAATAGTTTTTGAAACTTGCCAGCTTTTATTTTTGTTTTTAGTATGGGGGTTAAACTAAGAACCTTTTGGGTACGGGTAAAATTTTAAAAAAAACCCAATTTGGTTTTTTTAAAACCTCGTCACTTTGGCAAAACTGGATGGGACTTTAATTTATATTCCCCGGGGCATAAAAACAAAATAAAACAATAAAAACCCCCAAAGGGGGAAAAACAACCCCTGTTTGATAAATTTTCCGTAAGGTTTCAGACCCCCGGGTAAATGATTTTTTGAGTAGGGGCACAAAAAAGAACGGAGGACCGGTTTGACGAAAACAAAAAAAAAATCAAAATTTTTGGCCCCCCCCCTTTTAATGGGGCCAAAAATTTCTTTGGGCATGGGGGTTTAATTAAATCAATGAAATTTTTTTTAATTTTAATATTTTCAATCAAAATTATTAAAATGCTTTTGTTTTAATTGAAAAAACCGTAAGGTAAAATTTTTCATTTTCCTTTAACGGGGAGTTTTTTTGATCATAAAAGGTTTAAAATTTCCATGAAAATTCCCAAAAAGACAAGCTCACTTGAATAATGTCCCAAAATCTTTTTTTTTTTTCACAAAAAGAACAAAAAAAAAGAGTTTTTTAAAGGAAATATCACCCCCTTTAAAATAATTTCCCCCAATTCAATTCGTGACTTGGGAAAAAAAGAATTTCCATAAATTTGTTCTCAACAAAATAATACTCTTTTCTTTGCCCTTTTCCACCTTCAAAGAATACGGGATTTGCAACCAAAGGGAAAAATGTGGTCTGGGGGTGTGGGTTTTTTAAAAATTTGCTGATGTCCCCTCTTTGGGGGTTTTAAACACGGATTTTCTCCCCAGATTTTCCGTACAAAAATTTTTTCAGGTTTGCTTATCACTATTTTTAATTTTCTGATCACTAAGGCAATTTTTAAAAGCCCAAATATAAAAAAAAACCTTTAAATTTTTTTAAATGTTATTAAAAAAAATTTTTTAAAAAATATTGTTTTTTTGATTTCATATAAATTTTTTAAAATTCTTTCCGGGTTTAAAGTTAAAGTAAAACCAACACTTTTCAAGGTTTTAATTGGAAAGCAAGACAAAAGACAAACAGGGGCCCAAAAGTGGTTAAGGCTTTTCAGTTAGAAATTTGTTATTTAATGATCGCTAGCACATTTTTTTTAAAACCCCAAGTCGGGAAACAATTTGTGTTTCCCTAGGCAAGAAACCCTTAATTATTTTTTCAGAAAGGGATTTTACAGTTGTCTTTTTAAGGGTTTATCATGTAGCTTTTTTAACAAAAATTTTTTCTTGGAAATTAAACCCAAAATTTTTAAAATTGGGGCTTTTCCAGTTTTTTATGTTCGAAGAACAGGGAGGTCCCTTTTTGTAAAATTGTTTTTTTGCTATGCTGAAAAACCCCAAAAATTTTTCCCGCCCTTACCAAATTGCGGGATCCCAAACAGATGAAACATTTTTGTAGGTTTAATTTTTAAGAATTTGATCCCTGTTTTTAATCTTTTTTTAAAATTGTTTTTTTTGTTTGGCTCCTTAATTTTTAACATGGGACAACTTTATCATAATTAAACAGGCTTGTAGCAAAATGTTCAAAGCGGCGGGTCCATTTCACAAAATAAGAGGGGGAAAAGTCACAAGCCTTTCCTTTTTTTTCCCTTTAAATTAAATTTGGGGTAAAGTTTTTTGCACATGTTGTTTATGATTAATAAAAAATTTTCATTCATAGCCTTAATTAAAAAAACAAAAACCCAAAAAATAAACCACAAAACCCAAAACAAGGGGTTTTAAGTAGCTACCAAACCCGTACAAATTTTTTATTTTTCAATACAGTGTAAAATTTAATTTTTTCCTTTTATTTAAACCTAAATGTATTGTTGCAGTTTTGCTTTTAAATTTTGTGTAGGGTTTTTAAAAATATCTCATTTAAGTTCATAACCCTTAAATAGGTCAAGCCCGGGAAAAATAATAAAACATGTTTTTTTCTCTTTCAACCTTTCTTTTATTGATATTTTCCCTTTTTTAAGCGCTTTAAGTCAGCAAAAAATCAAAATACAGAAAGTAAAAGTAGTTACTATGGTTTCCCTTAAATTATTTATCAAAAGAATCTTTTTTTTCCCAAATTCAAAAACCAAACGGGGAACTTTGAACATGGCCTCCCTTTCTTTTATGTTTTGGAAAACAGGAAAAATTGGTTTTTGTCTTTTTGTTTGGGTTTACTGTATTTTTTTAAAAAATTATAAACCAACTAATTCTGTTGGACACATTTAAAATCATCCCAAAATCTAGCAAATATTTTACTCTTGTTACCCCAAAAATCTGCTACAAAAATATTTTTTTTTATTTTTTTTAAACCCCTTTCATCACTTTTCAAGCATTTTTTAAAGGTTTTTTTATAAAAATAAAATATCAAATTCTACTTTTTTGTGCCCAACACAAATGTCCCCCTTGAAAATTTATGTAACCCTTTTGGTTTTAATTTCCAGGGCTCGGTTAAAATGAACATTTTTTTTGTGTATCACCCTTTTTTGGGGTTTGTGATATTTTTTTATAAGGGAAGTATTTCAATTCTAAGTCCAGGTACAAAAAATTATGTACAAATGGGGTTGCTATTAAGCCTACAAAAAAAACAAGGGTCAATTATAAATCATGAATTAAAATTTAAAAGATATTTTTTAAAGTACATTTTTTAAAAACAAATAAAACATTTCTAACTCAATTTTAAATTGAAAATAACAAAAATAAAGAAAAAAAAGGGCCAAAAATTTTTTTAAAAAAAATGAAATTATTTTAAATTTTAAAAGAATTTTGGTTTCC